AGAGATTCAGGGAGCTTCCAGGCAAGGCGGAAGGTGAAGGGGGAGCAGACCTGTCACCTGGCTAGAGAAGGAGCAAGAGAGGGAGGAGACAGTGCCAGGCTTCCTTATGCAACCAGCTCTCTCCTGAACTAATAAAGCAAAAACTCACTCATCATCATGGGGTGGACACCAAGCCACTCACGAGGGATCCGCCCCCATGACCAAAACACCTCCCACCCACCAAGCCCCACCTCCAGCACTGGGGATCAAATGAGATTTGGAGGGGCCAGATATCCAAACTATATCATATACTTTCCTATATTTCCTTCATTGTTGGTGTTCTCATTTTTTGAGTTAAATCTTTAGACTAATATCCTAGAGAAGTGTAATGTCATCTATATATGTTATTTTTATTTTAATAGTATGTTTTGCTTAACCCAGAATATCCAAAATTTCATGTGATCAATTTTTTTTAAAATATGAGACATTTTATATTCTTGTTTTCATAGTAAGTCTTTGAAAACTAGTGTCTGCTTCACATGTACAGCACATATAGCCACATTTCAAGCACTCAGAAGTCACATATGGCTAGTGGCTACTATATTGGACAACATGGGTTTAGATAATATATTTTCTTCCTTTTTTTAATGGCCAAAATAGTTAAGACTATAAATTGACCTTTGCTTATAGCTTTGACCACATCTCACGAGTTCTTATAGCTGTTTATTTCCTAGATGATTTATTACAGGTATTGTATATTTGATTAAATCTTTATTCCATCTTTCTTTAGGAGAATACCTTTTAAATATCCAAGTAATTAGATTTTTTTAAATTATTAATTCTTGGTCCCAGTATGTAACCTGTACAATTTCTGTGCATTGCAATTTATAGTGGCATCACAGCTTATGCTTGTTTCAATTTAGTCTTATTAACTATATTATTTAAATCATGTAAGTAATTCATTTTTTATTTATTTATTCAGTCATTGAAAGTTAGTGGTGTCATTTCCTAATATAATTCTTTCTTGCTGTTTTTCTTCTTATGTTTCAATAGTTGTTTTTTAAAAATTTTTTTAGACAGAGTCTTGCTTTGTTGCCTGGGCTAGAGTGCCATGGCATTAGCCTAGTTCACAACAGCCTCAAACTCCTGGGCTCAAGCAATCCTCCTGCCTCAGCCTCCTGAGTAGCTGGGACAACAGGTGCAAGCCACCACACCTGGCTAATTTTTCTATTTTTAATAGAGATGGGGTCTCACTCTTGCTCAGGCTAGTCTTAAACTCCTAACCTCAAGCAGCCCTCCCACCTTGGGCTCCCCGAGTGCTAGGATTACAGGCGTGAGCCACTGCACCCAGCTTTTGATATATTTTGAATCTTTGCTAGAAAATAGATAACATTTTATTATAACATAACATAAAATGTTATCTATTTATTACAGATTGTATTTTTATTTATATAAATAACCTTATAATTGTATTTAGTGATTGTTATCTTAAAAGTACTTTGATCTTACTACTGCTTGAATTTTATTTTCATCTGCCCACAGTTATTTTTACTCATCCATTCATTTTTATATATCCTGTTTTCAGTTCTGGTAGTGGTTACTAGTGTTTACTGTTAGCATTTTTAAAGGTATACTTTAACTTTTATTGCTCTGACTACTAAACTTAAGAAAGAACCAATAACCTATTAATCCTGATGGTCTCAATTAGGAAATTTTGTGTGTTTTACAGTCTTCTGTCCCCCTCCTACCAGTATTTATCAGTCTTTAGTCATTTAATTTTGGATTATTAAATCACTACTACTATGAAGTTATTATTTAAAGTACATTTAAAAATTAAATCTCTTTTAAGAACTATTTCTGGCTTTTGATTCAATCTTATAACCAAAATTATAAATACTTATTTTGACTTAACTTCATATATCTACCTGGTTTCATTAGTAGTTTCACTTTTCCATTCTGTTTCTTCTAAACCAAGGCCTGGAGTAAGCCAGTGCTGATGGGAGCTGCCTGAGGACACAGGCACAGGGCTTTGCTAGTACTGACAAGCTCTTGCTCAGCCAGCCAGAGGCAGACAGGGGAAGGGACTGAAGCCTCCAGCTACCCCCTGCTTTTGGTCTTCTGGGTCAAGAGGCCAAGCTGCCCTGGGCAATCTCAGTTTATTGGTGACAGTACTTTCATGAATGGTGTTACCTCCCAAGTCTGGTGAAGCGTCTGCTGGTGAACTGTTATCTTCCTCCTCAGTGCTGCTGTGGGACTTTGTCCTTCCCCGTGTGCCTTCGTGGATGGGCATTTTTATGGGAGATGGGGGAAGGACACACTGGGCGTTGATAGAAGGGCACTGTTTTAACACTCAAGTTGGCACTTTATAAAGGCCAAGAGCTGTGGTTCTCATCTCAGCCACGCTTGCGCATTGGAATCACCTGGGGAATATCAGAAATGACCAGTGCCCCAACCCCACCCGCCAATCAACACAAGACTCTCTGGGGTGGTCCAAGCATCGATTTCTTCTGCATTCCTCCAGGCAACTCCAGTGTGAAACCCAGGCTGAGAACCTTTAGCCCAGAGCAGAGAAGGGGCTTAGGTTCTCATTCAAGTTCTAGTGCTGTGGGACCTCAGTCAAATCTTTTCATCTCTTGTGCCTCGGTTTCCCCATTTTAAAATGAGAATGATAATGCCCGCCCCTGTTCAGATTACGTAAGACTATGATGGGATCGTCAGATTAATGAGAATGGAACCACCAAAAGATTCACGACTTCAAGGCCAGCAGTCCGGGGCCCTTCGCAGGCTCTGGGATGGCGGGCAAGGTCATTTGCTCATTCACAGATAACCGGAATCCCTGGAGCATCCCCTGTGGAAGCTGCCTTCTGTAGGCTCGGGGCTAGGGAGAAGACACAGACCCAGCTTTGTGTCTGCTACTGAGGGGTCCCTGGCCGGCCCTGTCCCAGCTGGGACTCCAGGGTAGGCGACAAGCACCAGAGCTCCGTGGTGGCGCACGGGCAGACACTCCGTTGGGCAGTGGTGGGGGCGGGAGGCCTGAGGGGTCTCAGGCAGGGGTGCGCTTCCAAGGGGCAGTCTGGACAAACGGCTTAGTGGAGAGTGGAGACTTGGAGAGTGACTGGGCTCTGGTGTACTACTCTGGTGTACTACTTCCCCATCTAAAAACACCAAAGAGCTGTTCTGGCCACAAAAACAAACAAAAAAAATAGGTAACTATGTGAGATGATGGATATGCAATTTGCTTCACTATAGTAACTCTTTACTGCCTATATGTATCCCATAATACCATGGGGTATAACTTAAATATACACAGGAAAATTAATTTTTTAAAAAATGCCATAAAAAGGAGAGGGGGAAAAACATAAGCATGGTGTCCATAGTAGGCAAACCGAGGTTCAAATCCCAGCTCTGCCATGGCCACAAGGTCATGGGCAAGTTGCACAACTTCTCTATTCAGATTCACTGTCTGTGAAACGGGGCAATGACAAGACCTGCCTTGTGGGATGATTGTGGTGATTAAATGAGATAGTGCAGTGAAGACACCTGGCTCAGTGTCCAGCTGACAGGTGGCGGCTGTGCTGTTGTTTTCCATGTAGATGTTGATTTAAGTATAGACGCATACATGCACACACGTGTACATACTTTCTCTTTGTAATATTGAAACTCAGGTTGTCATAAGCTGTGGCCTGAGCTCATCCAAAGCTGGAACTCAGGTAGCTTCTCTTGGAAATCTTCTCGGCCAGCCCCTGCTGTGCTGCCTAAGGAGACCGGGGCCCCGCCTGCCTAGATAGCACCTTCACCACCCTCGGGGGACAGGTGTTAACCGACTCTTCTCTGCGGCCTTCCGCCTCTGCAGGTGCTGAGACTCTGGCATCAAGGATGCTCAGCCGCAGTCCGCAGTGGGGAAGGGAGTTGGACTGTGGGAGTGGCCTGGGTCACACTGTACAACCTGTCTTCCCATGTTCTGTTTATTTTGGTGGCACAGTCACCCAGACCCAGAATCTTGGTGTCATCTCCCAGTCTTCCCTTTCCACCCACTTCCCTTTCCACTCACCCCTTAGCAGTTGCTATTCAGCTTGAGATTGTCTCTCGTATCAATCCTGTATCAGTCAGCTCTTGCTGCTTAACAAACAACCACAGCAATCTCAGGGTCACGCAGCAGTAAGCACGCATTTCGACGATGTTCATGCAGGTTGGCTAGGGGTCACCTAATCTAGGCTAGACTTGGGTGGGCCTTGTTCCACGTGTCTCTCGTCCTTCTTCTGGGACCATCAGGCCAGGCCAGAGAGAGTCTTCTCAGGACGATGGAAGAAGCGTAAGAGTGAGCATAAATACTTAAGGCCTCAGATCAGAGCTGGCACCCTGTCACCTCTGCCTCATTCTGTTGGCTAAAGCAAGGCACATGGCCAAACCCAAAGACAGGGCAAGGGAAATGTATTTCAGAACATCATTTAACCTACCTCTTTAACCTTCCTCTTTAAGGAGGAAGAACGAATGAATGAATGAATGAATACCCCCAGTACTCCTACTACCCGCTAGGCCCCTTGCAGGCGGGGTGGCAGCTGTGTCGAGCACTAGCCCGGAGGGGCCCCGTTTGCCCCTTGCTGACCGTTCGCGGCAGGCGGTGTTCGGCTGCCCTGCCGGATGCAGAGGGCGTGATTTGGGGGTCAGCAAAGGGAGATATGGTTTAGCCACAGGGAGGTGAATGAGGGAAGTGCTGAGTCTTGCGAGAGTGACGTTTCCCCTTCCATCTCATCCCACTACCTGAGCAGTGGGGGTCAGTGAAGGAGGGTGACCTGCAGCAGGTGCCAGAGGAGGGGAAGCTGCACCGCCCGCCTGGGAACACCCGAAGTAGAGGTCCTGTGTCCGGAGGTCAGGGTGATCCTGCCCACAAGCGCGTGCACGCGTCACCCACCCCACCCTCACTGAAGACACGGGCTTTGCCTGCGGCCGGGACCAGCCCTGAGCCACCAGGCGCTGGGCTGTAGCCGGGCGAGGCTGACGCGGTCTCTTTGCCTCCGCAGAAGGACTTCACGGTGCGCGAGGAGCTGCAGCAGCAGGACGTGGAGCGCTGGCTGGGCTTCATCACCTTCCTGTGCGAGGTCTTCGGCACCATGCGCAGCAGCACGGGCGAGCCCTTCCGCGTGCTCGTGTGCCCCATCTACACCTGCCTCAGGGAGGTAAGGGCCCGCCGGGGGCCAGGGCGCTGGCACTGGGAGGGCGCCAGTCGAAACCCGTCTCACGCGCGTGGGCACAGCCGGCAGGGTCATGTCACTTACGAGGGATCGTGCCTTTGGTAAAGTCAGGTCTTTATCTGTTGAGTTTATGTAAAGCGAAACAGCCCCCCAAGGGGCATGATTAACTCAGACTCCGGTGATTCCTAACCTGGAACTCCGGCTGCAGACAGGAGGCCTGCGGTACGTATTATTGCAGTGCAAGCGTCTCTGGATTGGACTGGTTTACCATTGAATTGTTTATTTCAAAAAAAGATTTCCTTCTAAATTTTATCTCAAAAAAATAAAAAAGAGGCCAGGCGAGGTGGCTCACGCCTGTAATCCTAGCACTCTGGGAGGCCAAGGTGGGTGGATGGCTCAAGGTCAGGAGTTCGAAACCAGCCTGAGCAAAGCTGAGACCCCATCTCTACTAAAAATAAAAAGAAATTAATTTGGCCAACTGAAAATACATAGAAAAAAAAAATTAGCCAGCACAGTGGCACATGCCTGTAGTCCCAGCTACTCGTGAGGCTGAGGCAGGAGGATCGCTTGAGCCCAGGAGTTTGAGGTTGCTGTGAGCTAAGCTGACGCCATGGCACTCTAGCCTGGGCAACAGAGCGAGTCTGTCTCAAAAAAAAAAATAAAATAAATAAATAAATAAGAAAATAAAAATAAAAAAGAATAACCAAAACTCCTTTGAGAAGCAAGGACTCAGGGGGTGCTCGCCCTACCAGTTGCTGTCACATGCTTTCTGAGGCCCCTCTGGCTACTCTTGGAGAATAAAACTGAAAGGTGAAAGCTAGGAGCCCAGTTGGGGGCTACTGGTGTCGTCCAGTGCAGAGTTGGGTTCTGGTTGTGTTCTTAGAACCAATAGAACTTGCCGATGTGAGATGCAGGGAAGGCAGGAGGTGGCGTGGGCTCTCTGTTCACCAGCCTGGTGACACCGTTTTCTGGGATGGCAAATGCTAGAAGAAAAATATAATAGAAAAAATAGAGTGGGCCTGGAAACCAGGAGTGTTTTTCGGCATGTTGTGGTTGGGTCACCTGTTAGCTGTCCCTGGGGAGCTGCCCCGAGTTTGGCCTGGTGGGAGGGTCTGAAGATCTGGAAGAGGTCACACTGGAGGTAGGGGTCTGCGGGCCGTGTGAACTGCTGACGTGCTCCTGGTGCTCAAGGCTGGGGACCAGATGGGGTCACCCAGGAAGAGGGTGCAGGTGGAGGAATGGGCGGAGCGAGCAGAGGGGGTGGAGGAGGAGGGTGAGGTGGCAGGGAAGGCTCCAGAGGAGCACACAAGAACCGTCACAGCAGTCCTTCCTGGGAGCTTGAGCCGGCCCCACGCGTCACATGCCCCGTCCCCGCCACCCTCAGCAGGCCTCTGGACATAGCAGGGACCAGGACATAGGGAGGAGCAGCCTCTGGAGAAGCAAAGGACGAGGACAGGGAAGGGCCCTGCATTTGGCAACCAGGTCACAGGCCCTGGGTGTCGGTGGAGGTGAGGACAGGAGTGTGGACAAGTCTTGCGAGAAGCTTGTCTGTGAATGGCAGCAGAGAGAGGGAACTTGTTAGGTAAAGGGGAGGTGTGGGGGAAAGGGACATTTTTGTATTTTTGAAAGAAAGACGATAATAGAGGAATTTAAGAGAGGGGAGAGAGTGTATTTGTAAGTGTTTTTGAAGCATCCATTTATAGAACAATAGTGTGCTCATTCCAGACTAGCGCAGAGCACACGGGCCTCTCTTGGGTGCTTTCGTAAACCCGTAAGCCTCTGCCCCTCCACGTAGCCAGACCATGTTTCACAACAGATGCACTTGAACTCAGACTTGCTTCGCAGATTCAGGCAACGGGCCTCTCCCGACTTCGCGTCACCCTCAAAGGGTCTTGAGCTCATGGCTTTGCCTTTTGCACCTCTTTGGGATGACTTGAAGGCAGGGAGCTGGCCCAGATGGCCTCTTGGGGCGCTTCCGTCCTTGCCGGCATGGCCCTGGGCCCCTGACAACCCACCTCCAGACAGGGAGCCGCGCTGTTCTAGGGCAGTGACCTGAATTGCCTCAACACGTTCACTCCGCCTGATCTGGACACCTCCTGGTGTTGCTGTCACCTGCTCCTCCAAGCAGGAGGCAGGGCTGGGGCTGAGCGCTGGCCCTGGCTGCTGAGGCACTTCTAACACCGCCTGAGGTAGTGCGAACTTTCCAGTGTGAGATCCGGAAGGTGCCAGGAGGTCTGCACAGACAAGAAACAAAGAGCCACTCCTAATGCCTGCTCGTTTGATGCATTACACTTTTCAGCACTGACAAACACAGATCCATCCTGTGCTCATGGTCAACTGGAAAAGTAAATAAATTACCTACGGCTTTTACCATTTTGAAAAAGAAGAAACCAAAGCCCCGTGTACCAAGCTACAGCATCATCCCTGGGGCCAGGCTGCTGCCGGGGTTCAGATCCTGGTGCTGTTGGGTTTTAGCTGTGCCGTCTGGGGAGAGAGTTTACCTGCTCTGAGCTGCGGTTTCCTCATCTGCAAAGGGGCTCATGCTGCTTTCTCTGCAAGGGTGTAGGGCGGATGGTGCACTAGGGGCAGCTAGGTCAGAGTATGGAAGGAAAGGCCCAGGGGACACACTCTAGGGCACAGCAGCTCTCAGAGAGCTGGTTGTCCCAGGCTAATGGGACCTAGGGACTGAGCACACGCCAGTCTTAAAGGTGCACGTGGGCTAAGTGCCCTGCCCAAGGACACAAGGCTGGTCCATGCTGGAGCTGGCCTGGAGCTCCTGGACTCCTGATCTCGGGCTGTTTCCGGTGGAGAACTGGGCTTCCCTACAATGAGGCCTTTAGAAAAGATAGGGACAGAAAAGGGTGACCTGGGGGTATCAGTCCCTGTGGAGAGCCTGTTGCCTTTCCCAGCTCCCTGGGGACCCCTGAATTCTTAGGGTCAGAGCTGCCTCTCCTGCCTTATCACGTACACACTCATACCCTGGCCTGGCCTAGATCCCTAAAGCAGGTTGAGCTGGCTCATGGAAGTTTCTAGAGCCAAAGACACTGCTGCCACTTCCTTGCATGCTGGAAAAGCTCAGGCTTCTTCCCCAGGGCCATGCAGATAGCTGACTCCAAATCCACAGCACCCACCCTGCCCTGGGATCCTCCCACCTCCCAGAACCACCCCCAGGCCCACGTTTCCAGCCGCAGACGACGCTGTGTGCCTGGGCCCCTCCAGCAACATGTGGCCAGAGCCACGCCCCAAAGCCCTCCTGCTCGGCCCAGTGCTCACACGGGCCCAGACCCAGCTGGGCAGCAGCCCTAGGACCTGCTGATGGCGCTCCTCACAGTCGCGGCCACCCACCATCTCTGCACCCCCATGGCTCCTGCTCCCCCTCCCTTGTCACAAGTCAAACAAAAACCATGTCGCTGTGAAGAGGCTCACTCAGAACAAACCCAAGGGCAAGATAGAAAGTCCTCACAACCCAGCCCCCATCTGGGGTCCTCGTGCTTACAGAGGTCCCTGTAGTTCCTGGGCCCGGGGCTCACTCGGCCCCTTTAAGATCCATCACGTGCTCAGCCCTTGGGCCCTGTCAGTCTGGAGGACACCCGGCTGTCTGAGAGTCACGGACAGACGTTTCCTTTCACACCCTGACCTCGTCAAATCAGCCACCCTCTAGGTTGCTCAAGCCTGAAACCTTGGCATCATCTCTAGGTCTCCGTCTCCCCGGCCCTGACACTTCTTCCACAGCCCGGCTCAAAGTCGCCTTTTCCATAGAGCCCCCTCACCCCGATCCGCAGCCCAGCACACAGATAGCCCCCTTCTGGGGCCCAGAACGGCCCTCCAGCCTGCTAGCATATTCAGTAATGATGGCAGCACATCTCGCTGCACGGGAGGCACGATCTAAAGCACTTTATACATTCTTTTCTCTCTTAACTCACACAACACTCCGAAAATTATCATCCCCGTTTTCCAGAGGAGAACAGAGAGGTCAGGCAACTTGCTCAGGGCCACACAGCCATCGAGTGGCAGAGTCAGTATTAGAATCTAGATCTGACCACAGGGTGCCTGTCCCTAACCGCCCCATTTCACTGCCTTGCAAGCAAAGCAGGGGCTACCCTGTTCGCCCTCTCGGTCCTTAACCAGCACCTGCCACATGGTGGGAGCCCAGTGGATCTTTGTGGAATTGACTTCATTTTTCCCAATCAGAGATCCTTCTTCCAGAGATGGAGAAGACTAATTTTCAGCGAGCCCTTTCATTGTTTAAGAATGAATAGTTTCTACCAAGATGGTTTTCAAAGTGATTGAAGAGTGTCACTGGTCCTCTTTAGCTGTCCTCCTGCTCGCAGCTCATGTTTGCTTACCCAGCTCTTTTTTAGGTTTTTATGTTTTTCAGTATTTTTTTCAATTTTGTTGTGGTAAGGACACTTAACATGAGATCTACTCTCTTAACAGATTTTTAAGTGTGCAACACAGTATTGGTATCTTCAGGCACAGTGCTGCGCAACAGAGCTCTAGAACTTACTCGTCTTGCACGACTGAAGCTCTCACTCACTGATTAGCAACTCCCATCTTCCTCACTCCCCAGCCTCTGGCAACCACCATTCTATTCTTTGCTTCTTTGAGTTTGACTATTTTAGATACCTCTTATAAATAGAATTATACAGTAGTTGTTCTTCTGTGATGGGCTTATTCACTTAGTATTATATAATGTCTTCAGAGTTCATCCATGTTGTTGTATATTCCAGCTTCATTCTTTTTTTTTAAGGCTGAATAATATTCTGTTGTATGTATATACCACTTAACAATTTTTTACTGATACATAATATTTGTACGTATTTATGGGGTACATGTGATATTTTGTCATATGCATAGCATGTGTAATGATCAAGCCAGGATATCTAATATATCCATCACCTTGAGTAATTATCATTTCTGTGTGTTGGGAACTCGTCTAGCTATTTCGAACTATATAATGCATTGTTGTTAACTATAGTCACCCTACTCTGCTATTGGATGTTAGAATGTATTCTATCTAACAGTATGTTTGCACCCATTAACCAACCTCTCGTCACCCCCACCCATTTTTTAATCCATTCATCTGGTGATGGACATTCGAGTTGTTTCCACATCTTAGCTTATTGTGAATAGCGCTGCCTTGAACATGGAGTGCTGCTGTCTCTTCAAGAGCCTGATTTCAGTTCTTTTGGATAAATACCCAGAGTGAGACTGCTAGATCATATGGTAGTTCTATTTTTAATTTTCTAAAGAACCTCCATACTGTTTTCCACAGCAG